TAGGGCGATAAGGGAAGCTTGGAGCTTGAGGAGAAGCATTATTGTTGACAATTTGTATCTGTGTTCAGAGCTGCAGAGAGGCTCTGAGCTCCAGCTGGTGGGATGAAGGCAGGCTGATTTAAAGGGAACACATGCAGGCTTGTGTCTCCTTTTTGACCAGATGTTGAATGGTCAAACCGTACCTAAAATCTGATCATTGCTGGAAGTTACACAAGTTACTGAGAAACCATTTTTACTTGTTATTGTTGACATGTGATTAGTCACTGAGCTGAAAAACCAAATGCTAAATCTAATTTCTGATTATAACCATTCACTCTGAGTTAATGCAGACTGAACGTGTGTGTGCGTGCGCGCGCGCGCGCTTGTGTGTTTGTGTGTGTGTGCACGCGTGCGTTTGATAAGTAATTTTGTCTTAAATGAACAAATATATCTAAAAGGTATAGAATGCCATTTTAAAAACATTCAACATTCAAAATATTTAAAAATTACGAAACCTTTCAAATAATTTTTATGTTGCAACACAATAATTCTCATAAAATGAATAAAGCTGAAGACCATTTGAATAAAATGCAAGCTAAATTTTGAACTGAGGTGAAAACTGTAAAAGCGGAAGTAACAATACTTCCTGATTACTTATTCATTTGAATATTTTTCATGCTTTTGTTATGCTCATAGAATTTAAGTTAAGATTCACCAGTATAGTCGTGAGGGCAGCAGCCTAAGCTGAGGCCCAGACTACCCTCTGCACAGACACTTGGGTCAGCTCCTCTGGGGGATTCCCAAGATGTTCCCTTGCCAGCCGAGAAATATAGTCTCTCCAGTGTGTCTTAGGTTGTCCCTTGGGTCTCCTCTTCCTTAGACATGCCTGTGTAACCTCAACAGGGAGGCCTCCAGGACGCATTCTAATCAGACGGCCGAGCCACCTCAAATGGCTTCTTTCGATGTGGAGAAGAAAACAAATTTTGGCCGCTTGTATCCGCATTCTCATTCTTTGGGTCACTACCAAAGGCTCGTGACCACAGGTGAGGGTAGGAAGATTGACCGGTAAATCAAGAGCTTTGCCTTCCGGCTCAGCTTTCTCTTCACCACAACAGACCGGTACAATGCAGACGCAGCACCAATCTGCCTATCAATTTCATGCTCAATCTTTCCCTCACTCATGAACAAGACCACGAGATACTTAATCTTCTCCACTTGAGGCACGAACCTATCCTGACCTGGAGAAGGCTTTCTACCCTTTTATGACTCAAGACATTGCTGGACGTGTGACAAGTATAACTACATAAAGATGAAATATGGCGCCGGTGTGTGTGGCAGCTCGTTTATTGCTCCTGAAGCTGAAGACCTCTGCATGCCCCCTTGACATCTTACCCTCCTCTTTGCTTAAAAGTGCTTTTCAGTCCATCGGTCCCAGCATGCTCTCTATAATTAATGCTTCTCTGGTCTCTGGTCAGGTCCCTGCTTACTTTAAGAATGCTGTAATCCACCCGCTTCGTAAAAAACAGAGTCTTGACCCCTCTTTCCATAGCAGCTTCAGACCCATCTCTAAACTTCCGTTCATCTGCAAGATCTTGGAAAATGTTGTGGCTAAACAACTCACAGCTGCTCTTGATGAACATAACATCTATGATAGCTTCCAGTCAGGTTTTTGTAGAGCTCATTCTACGGAAACATCTCTTCTTAGGGCCTCTAATGACCTTCTGACCCACAGTGATGCAGGGGACTGTTCTGTTCTGGTCCTGCTGGACCTGACTGCAGCCTTTGACACTGTTGACCATCACCTGCTACTGGAGAGGCTGAGAGACTGGGTAGGCCTCTCAGGATCTGCTCTGGAGTGGTTCTCCTCTTATCTTTCTGAGCGTTTCTTTTCTGTGTCCGTCTCCAAGTTTAGGTCATCCACCACCTCCCTTAGCCATGGTGTCCCACAAGGTTCTGTGCTGGGGCCTCTGCTCTTCCTCCTCTATCTGCTCCCTTTTCAGCACATCTTGAGCTTCTTCAAAGGAATCTCCTACCATCTTTATGCAGATGACATCCAACTGTACATCTCCTTTAAGCCCCATGAGATATCTAACCCCCAAATTCCACTACCTCCGCTCCGGTCCGACCCCACCTTCCGCAGCCGCTCGCTTCCGAACTCAATTTTTACTGGTACCCGCTCTATAATGGCTCCGCTCCGGTGCGGAGACCTGAGGGGGGCAAACAAGCATGAGCGGGATTTTCGAGATCTTGCGATACAGTCCGAGCAATAAACGCGGAAGTTAGATCCAAACACCTGTTGTGTGGGAGAAGCATCAAAATGAACTGTTTAATCTGCCCATCATTTGTGTTGAGAGATCAGCAGTGTTTGGATCAACAAAGTGTGACTACTTTGATAGTAGAAACTGTATTCATGGCTTACTTTTGTGCATTTAAACTTCAGCCGCCATTGATAGTTGTTAAAAGTTGTTAAACCTGTGCATATGAAACAAAAAACGCCTTTTGTTTATCGATTTATTGTGAAAAACTGAAGTTGTGCTTGCTCGTTTTCCTGTTGGGCGGATGTGATTTCTGTCCATTGACTGCGGAGGTGCTCCGGCGTCCGGCGAAAATAGGATTGATTCTATTTTTGCCGGACGCCGGAACAGAGGGCGGCGCACTGCGCCGCACTGCCGGAGCACGGCCGCAGTAGTGGAATTGCTCTGATTGACTACAACGGGACCGATTTTGCTCCGGCGTTCGTGTTGGAGCGGAGCGGAGGTAGTGGAATTTGGGGGTTACACACCTGCTTAGACTCTGTCAAAACCTGGATGGCTGGGAGCTTTCTTCAGCTGAATGAAGATAAGACTGAGATCCTCATCTGTGCCCCAGACGAGCTGGTTCCCAAACTCAGAGACTCTCTTGGTCAGCTTGCTTCCCACACCAAACCTTCTGTCAGGAATCTTGGCGTGACCTTTGACCCAGCTCTCACCCTGGATTCTCATGTCAGTTCTCTTGTTCGCTCTTCCTTCTTCCATCTCAGGAACATTGCTAAGATGAGTCCCATTCTGTCTCGCTCTGAACTTGAGACAGTTCTCCACACCTTCATCTCCTCACGCTTAGACTACTGTAACTCTATTTTCACGTGTCTGAGCAGAACCTCCCTGAACCGTCTACAGGTGGTTCAGAATGCCTGTGCTCGGCTTCTGACCAAGTCCTCCAAACACACCCACATCACCCCGCTTCTCCTCCAGCTTCACTGGCTGCCAGTCAACTTCAGGGTTCATTTCTAGATCCTGGTTCTGGTCTATAGGGTCTTACATGGACAAGCACAATCTTACATTGGTGATCTCCTTAGTCCCTACACCCCCAGCAGGTCCCTGAGGCCCAGTGATCAAAGCCTACTGGTTGTGCAGCACCAGGCTGAAGACCAAAGGTGACAGATCATTTGCTGCTGTGGCCCCCAGACTCTGGACCTCTCTCCCCCTGAGCCTGAGATCAGTGGACTCAGTGGTCTCCTTTAAAAAAACAGCTGAAGACTCACTTGTTCAAGCTGGCTTTTGTATGACCTTCTTCACCACTCTCTCTTTATTCTGCTCTCCCCACCTATTCCACCTTCCTCAGGATCCACTGATTTCCTTCTTTCCTATTCACTCTCTCTCTTATTTTACATTTTTTCTTTTAAATCGCAATTGCTTATTCTTGCTCATTTTAAATATATTTTTAAACATTTTCTAAGTGCTTTTTTATATTGTTACAATTTTTTATATTTTTTGTTTTTGTTTTTGTGAAGCGCCTCGTGATTTTTATCTTGAGAGGCGCTATAGAAATGATATTTTCTTCTTCTCCTTCTTTCCTTATACTTCATGTTATTCTTTCTTTCCCTGCAATTTAGCAGTTCAATCCGGGTGTATGATCGTAAAACCTTGCTTGGGATTTGCCAAGCAGCTGAAGGCTTGTCGTTCTCTGGAGGTTTTGGGCATAATACATCGCCACTACTGGATGGTTGTTTGGGCTACGTGTGCTACGTGACAAACTTACCTATGGAGGAGGCGCCGGAGACGGGGGAAGCGTGCCGGACGCCGGATGAAGCTGGGATCGGCTCGACGTGGCACGTCGGATGCTGTGTGGGGAGTTGTTGGCTCCGAGGGGGACTGTGGGACGCTGGAGCACCAGTTGGATCCAGTGCCGTTTGATCTGGATTGGTGTCGGTGGTGTGCGGCGGTGGAATGATCCGGTCGTGGCGCCCTGCACTACAGCGGCGAGCATGCGGGAGAGGAGTTCACGACAAAATCTGCATGAGGTGATATGTGGATCGGCTGAGCCCTCGCCAGTAGATCCAGAAGGCTCGAGTATAACGGCATCTTCTTCCATCATCAGGTTTGCTCTGTCCAACGCCAGATCTTTTATGAATAAGACTTTTATTTTGAACGATTTTATTGAAACAAATGGTGTGGAGTTTCTGTGTGTTACTGAATCCTGGGTCCCTAAAGATGAATCTGCTGCTTTTGTGAAACTTCTCCCAGATGATTTGACATATTTTAGTGCTCCGAGACCCTCGGGGCATGGTGGAGGATTGGCAGTGATATTTAAGTCATCAATTATGTGTAGGCAGGTATGTCCATCCTCTGTGCCCACCAGCTTTGAACTCTGCCTCTGTGAGCTGGGATGCTCTCAGAAGCTACTGGTTGCTCTCCTATATCGCCCACCGAGACAAAACTCAGATTTTATAGATGATTTTACTGAATTGCCTGGCGAGCTGATTCCTAAGTATGATCAAGTGTTACTTCTTGGGGACTTTAACATACATGTGTGCTGTCAGGATTAGGGCCCGACCGATATGCTTTTTTTGGGACCGATACCGATATAAAACTTTTAACAAAGGCCGATAGCAGATATAATGGCTGATAAATCTCCCTCACAAAAAAAGAAATAAATACAAATGTTCTTAAGATTAAACCCTTCATTTTCTGCCTTTTTGATGCTAACTTATTTCTATATTACACGCCAAAGAACTGTCTCAATAACTCACTAGGGTTTCCAAGTAATGCAAATGAGATTTATTTTGCAATCTCAAAAACAACAGAACACACAAACTCAGTCAGTAAAAATCTAACATTCAAGATTTTGTTTTCTGAGTCTGTGGAAGTTAACTTAACTTTGTGAACTTATTCACCCTGGACAGGAAATAATAGCACTAACAAATAAGAATAAATTTTTAAAAAGTTCCAAAACAATAATTTGTGCACTCACTTTGCACTTTAATTACAGCTGTTATGCGTGTTTTTTTAACTATGAAGTCCTTCATGTAGAACGTTATTTCACAATAACTTGGACAAAAACAAAATCAAACCAAACAAAGTCCTAGTCTTGACTCTTGGCAGCAGTTCCATTCTCTAAAAAGTCCAGTCCAACAGGGGCAAGTTGTAATGCAGAAAGCACAACTTTTCAGCATTGTCTCCTTTTAGTGACCTTCTTTTGTCATCATAAATGTTCCCAACTGTGCTGAAAACTCTTTCGCTTGGGACTGATGAAGGTGGACAGCGGAGATACTTCTGAGCAAATTTTGCCAGTCTCTTGAAATGGCTGCTGTTATTTCGCCACCATTCTAATGGGCAGCTTCTTTTTCTGTCAATGACTGCCTCCCTCATGTACCTTTCCAGTTCCACAAGAACATCATCTGACTCTTCTTCCTCACTTATAGAAGCTGCAAGCATGTTCTCAAATAGGAAGTCAACAATACTTTCTGTGCCAACTCGCCTTCTTTTGGGGTCTTTCTCCTCTTCTGTTATAGTGGCCAGTTTTGTTTCTTCTGATGTTTGACTCTGCATTTCTTCTTGTAGCCGACTTTTAGCCTGACTGAGTGTCTCTTGATTGAGGGGTCGGTGCTTGTATCTGGGATCCAGGAGGCAAGCAAGAACCACTTCTTTAGTCTGATTTAAGTTGATAAATCTATCTTCCAGACTCTGGAGCATAGCTTTTCTTGCTGTCTGGATGCCAGCTGTATGTGGTCCCTCTGCTTGTAAAACACTCTTTAAAACACCTATAGAAGGCAAAATGCAGGAGGCAGATGAGTCTGCTTTGCTCAGTTCAAGGGTTACCTCTTCCAAGGGTTTGAGGGTTTCCACTAGTTTTCCAGCCAAGTCCCACTCATTTGGTGTTGGACACAGAAAATGCCCATGGTCACTGGAATAGGCAGTAATGGCCCTCTTCTGCTCCATCATTCTCTCGATCATGTGCAACACAGAGTTCCATCTTGTTGGTACTGACAGATTAATCTAGTGAACAGGAACTCCCATCTCCTTCTGAATACTGGTGAGACGCTGCTGTGCGACTGTAGAATGATTGAAATGAGTGGCAATTCTTTTAAATTTTGCCAGCATGTCCCCTACAGCTCGCTGTGCACTTAAGCCGTCATTTATGACCAGTTGCAGTGTGTGAGCAGTCCAGCTCAGTCCAGGCATTTCAGCAAGCCTCGTGCCTTTGACCATGTTGGCTCCACTATCCCTCAGTACCAGGTGCACTCTCTCATGGTCAATGTCCCACCCACTCTTTTAATAAGTTAAGGAAAGTTTCACTTATATATTCTCCTGTGTGAGAACCAAACATTGTCTTCACATTCAGCACTAGCTGGATTCTCTGCCAGTTTTTGTCAATAAAGTGAGCTGTTAAACTCATGAGGGCTTCACCAGCTCCAGACCAGCAGTCTGTAGTGAAGGCAAGGGGTCCAGAATTGTCAGTATGAAGAAGCTGTTTAACTTTGTTCACAACCTTTTGGTATGTTTCTTCCATCAACTTTGTGTGAAAATATTTTTCATTTTTCAGTGAATATCTTTGTTCCAGTTTTGCAACCAGTCGTTTAAATCCCACTCCCTCCACAACAGAATAGGGCTGTGGCAATCATTTCCATTATGAGCTTATCTATCTCTCTGACTTTTTGGTCATTTGGGCCCCATTTTGCTGTTCGTTCAACAACTTGTGGAAGAGTCATTTGAGTTCCTGTCCCTTTCTTTGCTTGACTTTGTGCAACTTCGTAATCATCTTTGTGCTTCTTTTTAAGATGGTGCCACAAGTTAGTTGTGTTTTTTGACTTGCTTTTTTCTGACCCCTGGCCTACTGAAGAAGAGCAGATGCTGCAGATGACATCACCGGATGGCTCTTTAGTGAAGTAGGCCCACACCTTACTACGACCCTCTTTTTCCATCTGTAATAAAATAATCAGCATAAAAGTACAGTTATATATCTGTTGATACCAAGACAAAGTAAAATACATTAAATGTGGCATTTTTATACTTAAAAGTTTAAAATTCATCGTGTAAATAAATGATATCAGACATTGTGGCTCAAAACCAATGGCTCTGCTTTTGTTTGGTTCCCCAGCTGTTAAGGTTTTCTCATTTAGTATTCGTTTCTTTTTTCTTCCTTCCACTGAATTTTCTACTCCGTTTGTTGTCAGTTTTTTTTCTAGTTATTCTTCTTTCCCTTTTCGGTTTCTTTCTTCTTTAAAATATTTTCATTTATAGATCCTCCTATGTTCCCCTGCTGTACTCTGCTCCCACTCACAGCTACTCCTCATAAGTAGTCCTCTGTCATCTCTCACTCCTCAGTGCATACGGTTCAGTCATACTCTGCTGGTTTCAGCATCCTAGCTACCTGTTTTTATTTCTGTCACCTGATTTTTGGCATAAAAATACTTTTGAGTTTTACACTTTTGTGTTTTGATCCTTTCCAAAGCCGACAGTATTAGGAGAATAAAAATAAGATACGTTAAATGACTAGTATGTGGCAAAGTATAAGCCTTATGTAAAATATAAGGCTGAAAAAATACAATAGATTTATTCTTTTGTAGAGAGGGATGTTTATTTTCTCGTATTACCGCCCCCCCCCCCCCCCCTCAAGGGGGGACTCCCTGCACCGAGTTTCATTGCTTTGTTGCCAAACCCCCCTCGCCCGTCCTCAGCTGCGACAACGTCGTGTGCTGCCAAAGCGCTGCGAAATGGGGACCGCCTTCATTCTTCGCCCTTGTTATCCTATTCTATAGGCCACATGGGCCACCGATGCGCTGCACGCCGGCGCTCCAGCCCGCACCATGCAGCGATCGTTTCGGCGTCTGCACAATTTTTTTCGCGAGCCACGGGTGAACCGCGTGAGTTTGAAAAGACTGCTGAAGAAGAGCGGAGGAAATTGTCTGAGAATATTCCAGAATGTCTACCAGAAAAAGGCCAATGTTACTTACTTGCTGCCCTGCATGACTAAAGGGGAAGCAGCGTGAGCTCTGCAGAGAGCGCTGCGGCAGTTTTATTTTGTCAGGTTAACTTTTCAATACGAGGCCACGAGGCACACAATAAACTCAGGAAGAATGTTGAGGGGAAACATACTTTTGTCATTGCTTATTTTACCGTTCAACTTACCACTGACACAACAAATACGCTTAAAACTGAAGACTTACCTCCTACTTCCTCATCACCATCGTCTCTGCTTGACTCTGCTGCTCCGCTGCATGTGTGCTGTGACGGTGGCTCCACCCCCCGAGGAATGGAGCCCCACAACATGAGTTCATAAAGCTAGCGCCATCTCCTGGATAGGTAGCGCAATATCGGCCATATCGGCCGTCTTTTTGGCTGATAGCCGATAGTGTTAATGACCCCTATATCAGCCGATAATATCAGCCGGCCGATATAACGGTCGGGCCCTAGTCAGGATAAACCTTTGGTGAAAGATTTTTTAAATCTCGCTGACTCCTAATTTGGTTCAGTTAGTGGATCAACCCACACAAGTTAGTGGCCATATTTTAGATTTGGTGCTGTCACTGGGTGTAGGAGTCTCCAACCTGCAGGTCCAAGAGGCCTATTTTTCAGATCACAGGCCAGTATTGTTTGATGTGGCCTGAAATCACAAACATGCAACAATATGCTCAGATGAAGCGCTGTCGGATGTTAAATGACTCTACAGTTGCTGAGTTTGCCGCAGTGTTTTTTTTTTATGGGGGGTGTGGAGCAAGACTACAGATCTTGGACCACAGATGAGCTTGTTATACACTTTGTTTCAGCATGCACCATGGCACTTGATGTGGTAGCCCCAGTACGGGTAAAGAAACCTAAAGCTAAAAAGGAGCCATGGCTAACTGAGAGTACTCGAGCACTGAAAAGGATGTGCAGGAAGGTCAAGTGGAGGTGGAAAGAGGATGGACTCCAGAGCTTGCTTGACCTACTAAGAGGACATTGGGTTGGCTATCAGAAAGCTGTGAAAGATGCGAGGATAAAGTACTTTGCCAACGTGATCTCCTTAAACTCTTAGAATGCTAGGATACTTTTTAAGACAATGGACTCAATTTTAAATGTCAATGAGCCCCTTGCGATTGAGTACACCATTGAGTCATGTAACAATCGTTTGGACTTCTTTGTGGACAAGGTAAGGGTGACAAGGGCCTCTATTCCACCACTTAAGCTTGCCCCCTCTGCAGATCTCTGTGTTTCAAGGGCACTGGAGGGTTTTCAACCATTAACTCTTGCAGAGCTTGAGGATCTGGTCACGAGACTTAAGCCAACAGGGGCGGTAACTGATGCTCTCCCGGCAAGGCTACTGACAGAAGTTTTTCCTGTAGTGGGTGACCATGTACTGCAAATTGTAACTAGCAGCTTGCTATCTGGGGAAGTCCCTATTTCCCTAAAGCAGGCGGTGGTACAACCCCTGCTTAAGAAATCAGGATTGGACCCAGCAATCTTGTCTAATTTCAGACCTGTATCTGCACTCCCTTTCATCTCAAATATCATAGAGAGGGCTGTGTTTATCCAACTGATGTCTTTTCTACAGGAATGGGGAATTGGAGAAGTATTTCAATCTGGGTTAAAACCCTTTCATAGCACTGAATCTGCAGTGCTGAAGGTCCTTGATGACATTTTATTGGCTAATGATTCCGGTGATGCTGTGGTTCTGGTGCTCTTGGACCAGACATCAACCTTTGATACCATTGATCATAGCATCCTAATAAACCGGCTGGAGTGGTCTGTGGGCATTACGGGCCAGGCACTTAAGTGGATAAGATCATACTTGACAGGGAGGAGTTTTTATGTGAGGTTGGGGGACTGTTCCTCCGAACTGGTTGAGCTGCCTTGGGGAGTGTCCCAGGGATCGATTTTGGTCCCACTATTTTTCTCCCTTTATCTCCTACCCCTGGGTGAACTATTCCGCAAGCATGAAGTGTCATTCCATCTATATGCTGACGATTGCCAGGTCATTTTTCCAATTAGGCATGGTGGTTTATGCACCATTCAACCTTTGTTGGACTGCCTGGAGGACATCAAGCTATGGTTGGCTCAGAACTACTTGTGTTTCAACAAAAACAAGACTGAAGTAATGGTGTTTACTCCACCAAAGACCCTAGGAGGTGCCCAAGGGCTTGATTTTTCCACACTGGCACTGCATCAGAAGGCAGTGGTCACTAACCTAGGGGTAAAGTTGGACGCAGAGCTCAGATTTGAGGCTCAACTGAACGGAACCGTGGCATGTCGCTCTCTTTCATCTACGCCGTATAGCGAAAATTAAGCCATTTCTGTCACGTAGTCATTTGAAAACTTTGATCCATGTGTTTGTTACCTGCAAACTGGATTATTGCAACTCGCTATATGCGGGGCTTAGGCAAGCTCCAATAGCACACCTCCAGGCGGTTCAGAACTCAGCGGCTCGGTTGTTAACATCTACCAGGAGGTCTGAACATATTACACCAGTCCTACGTGCCTTGCATTGGCTCCCTGTCTCCTATCGCATCAGGTTTAAGGTTATCCTGTTTGTGTTTAAGGTGTTAAACTCAGAGGCACCTAAATACCTTTCTGACATCATCCACCGACATGTCCCAGTGCGTTCCCTTAGGTCAGCTGACCAGAGACTATTTACCGTGCCCAGGTACAGCCTGAAGTCTCGTGGGAGTCGTGCCTTTTCAGTGCTCTGACCAAGTCTATGGAATGAGCTGCCAGCCGACGTAAAGCAGGCCAAATCACTGGAGACCTTTAAAAGCTGACTAAAAACACATCTATTCTCGTTGGCGTTTGGACATTGAAGTTGGGATTGCATGGGCAGCATCACTTTGAATGTGTCTGGATCTGATTCTGGAAAAAGGACTGATATGGATTGTGAACTTGTACTCAGGATTTCTTATTGTATTTTAAATGGTTATATGTCTATCTATTGTTGTGCTTGTTATTAGTTGTACAGCGCTTTGTTTGTCCGTTTTGGGCGTGTGAAAGTGCTTTATAAATAAAGTTGATTTGATTTGATTTGATTTGAAGACCATGGCCTCAGATTTAGAGAAGCTGAGTCTCAACACAGCTGCTTCACACTCGGCTGTGAACTGCTCCAGCAAAAGCTGGAGATTATGCTCGAAGAGCCAACAGGACCACATCATCTACAAAAAGCAAAGGCCAAAAGAGATCCCCTCAACATCTTGGCTGAGCCTAGAAATCCTGTCCATAAAAGTTATGAACAGAATCGATGACAAAGGGCAGCCTTGTCAAGAGTCCAAATGTAACTGGGAACGAGTCCAATTTACTGCCGGCAATGCGGACCAAACTGGTCATACAGGTACGTAAGGGGCCTGGTACCCCATACTCCCACAGGGCCCCTGAGAGACGCGGTCTAGTGCCTTCTCCAAATCACATGTAGATTGGTTGGGTGATCTCCCACTCACCCTCCAGAATACCCTAAGGGTATAGAGCTGTTACAGTGTTTCATGGCCAGGACAAAAAACACTTTGCTCCTCCAGGATCTGAGGTTTGACAATACAACGAACTCTCCTTTCCAGAACCTTATATATAATAGACCTTACCAGGGAGGCTTAGGAGCGTGATTCCTTTGTAGTTGGAACACACCCAGCGGTCCCCATAACAAAATACGGGACCAACACCCTGGTCTGACAATACAGTGAAACTGCCCCCGATATCTATGCAGTATTGCAGAGCTGCATCAGCCAATACAGGCCCCTCAACATCCAGAGGTTTAAGAAACTCTGGGAGGATCTCATCCACTCCTGGGACCTTGCCAACGAGGAGCTTTTTAACCACCTCAGTGACCTCAGCACCAGAGATCGTGGAGCCCAACCCAAGGTCCCCAGACTTCACTTTCTCACTGGATGACATGCTGGTGTGATTGAGGAGGTGTTTGAAGTACTCCGCCCACTGATCCACTATGTCCCAAGTGGAGGTCAGCAGAACACCATTCCCAGGAGTAACACAGGAGGAAGAGTGGGTTGTCCAGTAATCGGAAGGTTGCAGGTGAAATCCCGGTTCTAACCAGAGAATGCTGCTGTTGTGTCCTTGAGCAAGATACTTAACCTGCCTTGCCTGCTGGTCAGAGAGATTGGTGGTGCCAGTGTTCGGCAGGCCTTGTCTCTGTCAGTGCACATGGCTGCTGTGGCTACATCATAGCTCATTTGCACCAGCATGTAAATGTGTGTGTTAATGGGTGAATGACTGAATGTGTTGTGAAATGCCTTAGGGGGTTTTAGAACCCTAAAAAGGTGCTATACAAATACCGGCCATTTTTTACACACTGTAAACAGTGTTTATAACACGCTGTTTACCCCTCCTGAAGAGCTAGATGCTGGACCAAAAGCTCCTCAATGCCCTACAGAAGTCTTGCTCCATAGTCTCTCCAAACTTCTCCCATGTCTGTTTTTTTGTCTCTGCGAACACCCAAACCACATTCCACTCAGACCGCTTGTATTCATCAGCTACCTCTGGAGTCACACAGGCCAAAAAGACCTGATAGGATTCTTTCTTGAGCTTGACCGCATCTCTAACTGCCAATGTCCAATA